CTATCCACCATGACTGGAAGTATGTTTGGAGAAGTTAAAGTAATGATTTAATTATTATTGCTTTTGAACCAAAAGAGTGAAATAATAAACAATCCTTCATCACTTCAAACTAATCTGTGCCAAGCTGGACATATTTGGCTACTTCTAATAGAACAATAACCTCAATAGAAGGTCAATAGAAATCAGCTTTGGAAAAGAGAGGCTATGAAGAAAATATGAACAATGTTCTAGGTAACTAAATAATTTAAATAACAGCAACAGCCCTGTTGATAGCAACAAAAACTGCCTGGTTTCTCTGAAAAGTGGTGAAAGAAATTCACATTAGAGATGTACTTTGTATATTTGAGCTGATATTGATAACTTGAGTTTGTGTAAATTAGAAAAAAAAATATCAGAATAAAAGATACACTTATTTTTCATTTAAATGATCAGTACCCTGCATTACTAGCCTTGTGTTGTCCACTCCAAACAACACAATACATGCTGATAATAAGAATGTGGACATTTCTGACAGGAATTAAATCTTTACTCTAATTGGCTGATAAAACCAATTAGTAAACAGTTATTTTATTATGTTTGTTCCAACTTAATTAAAAAAAAATACATATTGATTTTTGTTATGTAAATAAGTTGTCCTAGTTTTATGATACAAATGGAAACAGTACAACCCTGGTAAAGTGTAATTTCGGTTGATCAAACAAGTAATAAAATGCAATCCAATCCTAATCCCACTTTATTTATGAAACACATTTACAAACAGCAGAGTTGAACCAAAGTGCTGTAGAATATGGCCATTAATAAGAAGGAACACAAATGTAGAACACACAGAGCAGAAAACTCCAGAACAAAAGCTGGGAGATTGAAAAAGCTACAACGGGTAGAAGTCCAAGAAAAAAAAAAAGTCAATGGCAAGTAAATAAATGAAATTAAGTTTAACACAGGACATATTGATCCTGTGGAATTGGCCGAGGTTTAAACAATGTGATTAGCTGAAGATAAGTGAAATACCTGTGAGAAACTGTTTTTGCCTTTCAGAAATATATTCATGTTAGTATGAGACATTTGGCTGTGATTTTACATTCAGCCAAATGAAGTGTAACAATCATTATCCTTAGACTGTATATATTCTGAAGCTTGTTGGGTTTACAAAATTAGCAAAAACCTTAAAAACTTTTAAACATTTAGACATCAGTAAAAACCCACATTTGGACACTTTCATCTGAATTATTTGTGAGTACAGTTTTATTCACAGTACAAAAATTCTGTACTGCACCACAGGCCCCAAGCCCAAAAGCCTGGTGGTTCTTTACCAGGACCCTGCACTTATAGAAAGTGGACTGACCCACATTTATTCCTGTCTTGCTAAAAAAGAATAAAAAAGAAAAATAATAAAACAAAAAATAAATAAAATCAACAATCATTAACCTGCAAACAAACTCTGTAAATAATTTTTTAAAAATAGAAATTTAAGAATAAACTAACAAAATTGAAATGGATAAAGAAATAAAGAATAAATAAATAGCTCCAACACACAGCAACGGTACGCATGGAAAAGGTGTAATGCCCTCGCCACGCCACTCGTCGGTGCTAGGTTCTTTGAAACTCAGTGCGCATGTGTTTTGAAAAAAAAGTTCTATTTGAAAGCGTTTCTGATGGGGAAACGCCAGCATTGTCAGTAGTTTCTTCTTCTGTGTATTGTCGCAGCGATGTTATGCACCATACTAAGCCTGAGCTGCGAATTCCCTCACAGTAAAGGTCCATTTATTTCGTTTACAAGACGACTGACGGGTACGTTTTAGAACCATTGCACTCTGGAACCCGTTTTCAGACTGTGCCAGAGACAACATTCGGTGGTTTCATGTAAACTACAAACACAACAAAACTCGTCCTCTTCCAAAACCCTCAGGCCCTGTTTGTCGTGTCAACAGGGCCTGAGAATCCCTAACAGTGATTAAATAGTTCTGTTTTATTCATTTCTTCTTTTCATCATGCTATCAGAGGACGGTTATTGCCACCAGGAAGTAAAAATGGGTGTTTTGTTGGTCTTTTACTACTTCTTTCTAGACCCAAAAAAGTTTTAAAAGAAGGAACAATGGCCCTCCGAAAGCAGTAGTAGTTTTACTATTTCCCGATTGAAGTTGAAACTGATAGCCATAAACATTTTTTATGTTTTGTGATTGCGAGGCCCTGTGGAGCTACGGAACCAAAAAAAATATGTGTAGATTTGTTTCTGCTGTTGGGAAAATGAAGAAGTTTGGATATTATCGTGCTTCACTTTTGACCATCTTTAGTAGCAAAAACCAGCTTCCTTAACTACATACGAAAGTGAAACTAATTTGATCAAATATAACGACTTGCCTCTGCTAAGGAAATGAGAAAAATGTTAAATTCAACCAGAGACACTCCATGAACATTCAAGCCACATTTTGATGCCTAATTTCATTTCTGTTTATTTTTGGGAAATGTCATGATTTGCGGTTGTTGAGATTCGGGCCCAAAAGCAGAATCGAAGCTCAACGCTCCATGTCTTCAGGTGAGAAGACATGGAGCGTTTGAGGATTTAATGAGGATCTTTAATGAGAGTACAAAGTCCAGAAAGCACAGATGAACAATGACACTGAAACTCAAACACTGTATATAATAACACAACGTAAGACAGTTAAAACAAGGATCCGACCAGGAAACGCAGACAAAGGTGGGATTAAATATACAAGAGGTAATCAGGGAACACGAGACAGAGCTGGGAGCAATCAGGACAGACAAGACGACACAGAGACTAACTACATTAGTTTCCACTAATCCTCAGTTTTTAAGTCTGGAGCTGAAGGCAAAAGGAGGCCAGACAGGGCACCGGTGTTTATTCTGGACTTCAGGAACAAAAAGAGAAAATATAAACCCAAAAATAAAAATCAATGATGCATTACTTTCAAAAAACAAAAATGTGCTTTGTAATTTAGGGAAAATGGCAATAAATGTTACATATCATAAAATAATCAAAATATAATGGATGTTTTACAATTCCATATAAAAAAAATATACAATAGATGTTAAATGACCAAAGTTACATTGACTTGTAATGATATTTAACAATAACCTACATTGAATATGCAAAACAGTCTGATTTGGCCTAATTTTAAAAAATGACTTTTTTTGCCAGTGTTTGCATGTCTGGTTAAAAGGTTGGACTGCATCCTAATGACTATTACATTTTCCTAAAGTTCTGACTGAAATAGACCAATAGGGAAGAGAAGGCAGGGAATCAACTGGTGTTCGCTTGCAGACGATCAAGTTCACATAGCAAAGACTAGTGACAGACAATTGAAATGCAGAAAAAACAGCATTTCAATTGTGTAAAAAATAGTTTTTGTTCAAACACCGTATTCATATGAAGCTTCGATAAATTGGTTTTAAATCCAACAGTCCAGAACAGACCACAGCTACAATCGGAAACTGTTTATCCAGTTTGTGGTTTCAGCAGATGGTGCAACAAGATCTGATTGTGAACCAGCAAGAACTGCAGCACCCAACAGAAACCAAAATACAAATTCTCTACTTCCTTAAAATTCAGAGGGTACCGCTCTGTATGGAGTGAGTGAGTTTTATATAGCACCTTTCACAATTTCAAATCTCAAACTGCTTCAAAGACAAAACAAAGCATACAATAAAACATCGGGTTGATTTGTTAAAGGCTTTTTTGCAGCAAAAATGTCTCTACCTGCTTTTTGAAAGACACACAGTAGGGGTTGTTTAAGTAGGGCCATAAGGGTGAAGACTAAAATTTTAAAATTAACTCTGGAATTTACTGGGATCCATGGAAAAGAAGTCAACATTGGAATCATATCCAATCTTCTCCTGCTAAAAGTCTTGCTGCAGCATTTTGCAAAGTCTGAAGGTGATCCAAAGCTGATTAAAAAAGTTCATGCAAAAATTAAGTGATAAAACGATTGACAATCATCTCAGGTTCTGCTTTTGACACAAACACTCATTAATGTCGAGAGACTCAAATGACATCGAACTTGCATAAAGGACACTCAAATTTCAGAAATTTGATTTATCAGAAAAGCCTAAAAAGTTGACATGTCAGATCACTTTCCATCACCACTCACCAGCAAATATCCTTTGATCACCAGATCAACCATCACAACAACATGCTAAAAGTTCAGAAAATAGACTTCGGCTCATCAGCCATTCCGCAGTTTGTCACATGGACGATAAGATGATAATCGCATGTTGCTGTGACAGTGCCCAGAAAATGTATTCAGTTTTTCGACAAACATGTTCAGCAGCCTGTGGGAGTTCAATTCACACCTCTGCCCATCAGAGGTACTGAGCGTCATTGCAGTAACCACAGCAAAGAGGGTTTAAGTAGGGCAATATGTGAGTAACACAGACAGGTGTATTTAGTCTCAGTAAGGACAGTTATTTATGGTTTGGTTTTGTTTTTGAGTGTTTCATTCTGACTACATGTTGAGGCATGAACGTCTTATCAACTTGAAGAAAGTTGATAAGAAAAAAGAAAATGCAAATTGTAACATAAAAAGGTGAACATTTAGCTATTTCTTTACTGCGCAGGATAAAAATATAGTCTATGGGACATTTTTCAGAAACTAGAAGGTGGAGTGGTTGAACTGGTATGTTTTTCTAGCAGAGATGTTTTGAAGACGATGCTTAAAAGATGTGCAAAATATTGATGATTGGTACTGGGCAATAAAATAAACAGCAAGGTTAAGTAATGTTGATACTGACTAAAACTTTTTAAATCGACATTAATCATTTAGGAACTCTAAATGGTGCAAATTACTTTCCAGAAGGCATTGAAGTTGTCAGGGGGTGTTTCTATTTTAGAGCTCCATCTTAAGCTTTCCTCCAGATCTGCGACCATGTGGGTTTTTTTTTTTTTTCCCATATCACATAACCAAAGAAAGTTCCTGTTGTTTTTTAACCACTCCCATAAAGGATAAAAGGTCTGTCACTTCAGCACCACCTCCTCACATGACAGATTTAAGATATAAGCCAAAATACCATACCTGCAGAAGCCACTGAAAGGCTAAGCAAACATGCCAGAATCTCAGAGCAGTGATGCCCCAACCTACCGTGGTTGGTCCATTTTCAACATTTTATGCTGCTGTTGGCCTCTTGGAGCTTTTGCACTGTATTACTCTTGCAAGGTAGGTCGTCTTTCAACAGCATCAAAATGAATGTTCCTCAAACCTTTATCCTTTTTTTTTACCTCTACCTTTAAGACAATTATTTACATCTTATGTATAACCTTTTAAACTATATGTTTCTCTGATGACAAAATATTTGCTCCATTATAGTCATAAGTCATACAGTTTTTATGAATGGCTATGTATTAATGACTTTGTATCTAAATGTGACACGACTGGTGCAAACAGAAAAGATTTCAACATAGTTTTTATCTTCTCTTCATTGATGCAACTATCCATAAATACCCATTACAATATGTAAGTGACTGCAATGACTGTTGATTCTAAGGTAAAAACTGCAAATGAAGCTGGAGACACCGTTGCAGCTCGGGACGCATCAAAAACAGCAATGACCCTGAATATCATCTCCCTCATCTGTGGACTTATTCTCATCCCCATCATCATCTATTACCAGCTCCAAAAACAGAAGAATCACTGACTTGTCACTGCAGATATCTTCCTCTCCTCCACCAGCAGTTGAAAGCAACAGAAGTAAATGGCCGATCTTCTCTACATCAGTCAAACTGAATGCTGTCAAAATTATTCTTTGGTACATTGTTTCTCCCTCGATTGTTAAATCATTTCAAGTTTGTTAACACAGACATGGCTTAACTTTGTTCGGTGCTTGTTGCAAATAAAGAAAACCTGAAAAGGCATTGAGTTGTGCAGCTTTTGTTTTTAGCAAAAGTTAGCTGAAATAAAATTGGGATACATAAATAAATATGAACAGTTCCTCCAAAATACTTTTTCCTTCCTGAAAATGTGTTAATTTTATTTTGTGTTCAAACTTACATTTTTCAAATAAAAATGTAAGTAATTGTAATATGAGACAGGGAAAGTTTGAGTGAACAAATAAATGAGTTTTTAAAAAAAGTCTAAATAAACTTGATAAATTGTGAATAAATTGTGAAGCTGATTTTCATCCTGAACACATGCCCCTGTTTTTTTTTTTTTTTTTTTTTTTAAAGCCACTAGAACAAATAACTTGAATGGTAATTGTTTGACAAAACAAAATAAGTCAAAATACCTTAACGTAGCAGCACAACTTGACCAAATTCAAAAAAATTTGTGTGGAGCAATGTCTTAATTTCCAGGATTAATTTCCAAAACATTAACAAGACTATCATTTTAATAGAACACCAAAGGAGACTCAGCTGAAGTGGAGGATGTGTCAAAAACAGCCAAGAAATTAAACTAAACCTCTCACGCTTCTTACTTTCTTTACTTATAAAACAGGCAACAGCAGAATTACAATAGAATAAATTAGTGGAGTTCCCTCTATTTATATTACTAATATTTCACAATATCGGTGAAAGAGGTGAAGGAGTAGAATTCATTTTTTACGGATTTATTGAGCAGAGTTAGGATTACAATTCAACTCTCAGTTTTTTCCACATCATTGTAAAACAAGAATAGCTTGTTCTGTTTGTATATTCCAAATGTATTACTTACATATATATTAACCTATATTAATGATATTCCTATCATTACAGCATTGCATTTAAATGTGTATTACAAACAGCTTCTCTGGGTCGAGGTCCTCACACTCTGAAAACTGAAGTGTGTCTTGTAAAGTTTTACTTCTAACCCACATAAATGTATTTAATTTTGTCAAACTTTCAGCAACATTCAGCAGTTTTGCAGTGTAAAATAAGGGTAATAATAATGTACACTTCTAAATAATATACAAACAAGAAAATTTATATTTTTTTTGTTCTCTTGATTCAGCTGAATATTACGATATCTATGAAAGTATATTTTCTAACAGGAAGCGTTTTCTATGTTTGAGCAAACATAATGCGTTTCTGTTATTATATATGACAAATATCAAGATTCAAGGTCAGATGTTGATTTAAGTAACCTTTCTTTGTGGATACATAATGCAAAGTATAAAACTGGACAAAGAAATGTGATTTCAGAATAAAATTGGTGCTATGAGTTACCAGTTAGAAGAAGGGTATCAAAACTATCCATCCATTTTCTGTACATCCTTGTCCCTAGAGGGGTTGGAAGGGGTGCTGGTGCCTATCTCCAGCAAATGTTTCGGGCGAGAGATGGGGTCACCCTGGACAGCTTGCCAATCTGTCGCAGGGCAACACAGAGACAAACAACCAAGCACACACACACTCACCTAAGGAGTGTGTGTGTGCTTGGAGTACTTGGAGAGAAACCACATATGCACAGGAAGAACATGCAAACTCCATGCAGAAAAAACCCAGACTGGGAATCAAACGCAGGACCTTCTTGCTGCAAGGCAGCAGCAACAAGGTGTGCAGCCCAGTACCTAAAAAAATAAAAAGCAAAAAAAAAAAAAAAAAAGGACCGCAAAATTAAAATTTTGGTCTGGCTGCTTTTTATTCACTTGAATTGAGGATTCTGACTTTCAGAACCAAGCATGTTTTTTTTTTTTTGTTTTCATTTTGGGTCCCTCCCCTTGCCCCACCGCTCCAAACTTAGGTTCCTGGAAACCTGAAAGTTTTGAGTATTATTTGATAGTGATAGGAGTCAGACCTTTTATTTTGTTCACATGGCCTCCATCTGAACTCATCTGTTGATTCTTATTTTATCAGCAATATCTCTTAACATAGTGTAGGGTCTACACAAGTATATTTGATAATGATGGTTGTTTGTTCAGTCACTCTGTGTCCTCCTGTTCTCCTTTGGCTTCAGAGCTTCTCTCTCTCAGAAATCCTCCAAGATGTGACAACAGAGATGCTTCTCTGTGTTTCACCAGCATTTTCTCTACCTCCTGGTAGGAGACAAATCAACAAACACACAACACATGGAAGGAGGAACTGGTTAGACTTAAAAGTCTTTTAAATCCACATTTTGACTCCCAGTAAGCAGATTATCAGATCGGAAAAGAAAAGCAAAAGTACTATGCCTTTAGGTTCACACAGAGAGGGAATTCCCAGTTCTTACATCTTCAGACAGTAGTCCTCTGCTTGGTTTATGAAGCCTATGAAGCAGTGAGACAGCATGGGGATCTGACAGCGCCTCCTTTAGGTCACCCTGCTCCTGAAACCCAACACACAAACTTGGTTCCGGTCCAGCACGGATGCCCAGTCTGGCCTGAAATAGCTCTTGCAAACAGTCCTGTAGAGTCTGGCAGGAAGTGAACATAAATAAATAAATACATAAATAAATAAACAAATGCTCTTTTCAAACCACTGACAACTTCAACCTTCACTGATATGGCAATTAAAATACAGGTGTTATTTAGATTTCTTCAAATTTTATAGATTTTCATTCACCTTGAAGAAAATTCTCTGGAAGGCTGGACTAAAGTCGGCGCTCATGTCTTTGGTTTTGATGTGTGAGAGACAGTGAAGGAGCATGAGAGAGAAACCACCGACACACTGCAGCCTCTGACGGCGGACAAAGAGTGTTTCTTCTGCTTCCTGTGCATGTGCAAAATAAAGTTAGTCATCAATCACTTGATCATCTTGCAGATGGACAAAAACACAACATGCACGACCCATTGCTAAAATAATTTCAGCGGGGTGCATTTTGTTATACTCAAAATATAGATTTGATGTATTAAGACAGTCAGACAACTCTTGTTTGTCTTAGACTGGAGCAGTTTGAATGTTGAAGTCGATTCTGAAACTAACCACAGACCACACAACTTGGGTCAATGAAGTCGACACGTTTTATTTACAAGAAATCTGCTTTGGTTTGGCCTTATTACTTCAGTTCTCTGTTCCCGTAAAAGAAAGAAATAGAAGAACTGAAAAAAAGCTGAGCAAGTGCTGTTTTTTCCAGTTTTAATACCAATTTTGTGAAATATTAGCAATAAGGCTACTTTTCTTAAAACAACTTTGGTGAGACGAGTTTGCTGGCAATCCCGCAGAGTAACACCATGTGGTCACTAAACTACTGCAGACTGTGTAAACTTCACTCTGAACTTTAAGCAGCATAGATTGTGTCCCCCCTCCTCTCTTTCTACAGATTTGCAAAATTAAACCTGGAAACACTGAGCAACAGTCTTGTCCTATTTCTCTTTTTGTCCAAATATCTTTTGATGTGGTGTCTCCAGCCTTTTGTTTGACAATCATCTCAAGGCTAAGCCATCCTGGTTAATGGTGAATCTTTTTCAACCACAATTTTCCTTCCACTCAACTTTCTGTGACAATCACTACTGCTGCATTCTGCAGCATTCTGTGATCAAGAAGCTTCTTTAGCGTCAACCTTCTATGGGTTACTCTCCTCTTGGAGGCTGTGTCTGTCAAATGAGCTGACTTCCTCCTGACGGATTAGCCTACTCACCCAGACTAGAGATCATTTAGAGGCTCTTAGTGTGGGTGTTGGTGAATGGGTGATTAGAGTGACACCCTGGGTGTCAAATCATTAGGAGCTGCATTTTGGGATTTCATTATTGGTGTAACAAAGACTTGACGTACTTCTCTCAATGTGCAGTAACTCAGGGTAACAAATTCTACTTTCTGAAATTTAACCTTTTAATTTTTTGAGACTAATTAATGTTTATTCCAACTGAAGCGTCAGAGTGTTTCCTCCGAATAATGAGAAGTTCAGTTCTTAACGTGGGGCTACGGTAAAAAGATGCAAAATAACTGGACGCAATTCTGGATTGTTCACCTTATTCAGTTGTGACCTACGTAAATGTGTGACATGCAGCTAGGAGAGATTGCTCTTTGGATCAAGACGGCCGTGTGGAAATCGAAAGTCTGAGATGCAGCCTGAGGTTGAAAGAGAAAGTTGTGTTTTGGAGACATTTCAAATGTAGACGCTGCAGCTATGTGATCTATTGGGTGTAATTTTGTTGAAGGCTAGAGAAGAACGTGTTGGTATGACCCAGCTTTAACAGCTTCAGCAATAAATAAAGCGCTCAGTGAATTCTAGTTCAACTGGTTATTTTTCCAAACCATGGGAACATTTTCAGTAAATTGTTTAGTTTAAGACATTATTTAAAACTAGAGTGATGATCCTGGTCCAGTCAGGAAGCAGCAAAACTAATACGCCCATATAGGTAACTTTAAAAATAAATCTTAGCACATACCATCATAAAGCAGCACTTTACCTGATAAAAAAAAGAGTTCCTGAAAGCGTTGCCTACATAGTTGTTGTTTGGCAGGCTCACGGCTACCTGAAGTGAAACCGCTGGAGTCTGTAAGAAAGGAAGAAAAACTCTAAGGCATTTTCGTTTATCTGAGGTTTTACAGAGACCAACAAGGTAAAAGTGCCTATCACTAGTTGAACTTTGAAAGGACATAGACAGAAAGTATCACTAGAATATTCTATGATTTTCTCACCCTGAATAATAATAAAAAAGCTAAATATCAACAATTGTGTTTCAATGTTTATTAATTCATGATTCCTGTCAAAGTGAAACCTGAGCACCAACCAGTTTTAGATTATGCAGTGTGTCAATCAGGAATAATCCATGCTGGTGGACCAGAAACTCTCTGGGATTTAGGACTGAAAGGTCCAAAGGGATCAGCTCTCCTTCGCATTCCCACTGGGCATCCAGGACGTCCACAAAACCGTTTCCTCTGTCTGGATAAAGTGAGCGATTAATCAAAATAAAATCATACAAATTTTGTTCTTTTTTTTTTCTCCAGATGGTTGTTTGACTCCTTGCTGTAGTGGACACCAACTAAAACAGAAGGTATTTACACATTTGACCAAACGTCTCCAGTGTTCGTGGATGAAAATTTCTGAACTCACTACTAAGTTCTTGTCCAAGTAAACCAGCCTTCCCAGCGCAGGCCTTCAGCCGCAGTTCCAAATCCCTTAAAAACTGGAAGAGAGGAGAGACCTCCACCAGCCTCTTCCACTGCTCCTCTGAGGGGCACAAAAAAGTTAAAGAGATGTCTATTTCATTGATTTGATGTACTTTTAGTAAATGTTGGTCCTAATGACACTCTTACTTATATAAGGAATACCTGGAGTAGCAGTGACGGCTGTATGTGTAAACTGAACAGGGTCCTTTGTCTGCTGACTGTCTGTAAAGAAACCAATATCATCATGTGGACAGTTCCCAGGTTCAGGTAGACATGCATGACAGAAAAATCTCACATTAACCTTCAATCATGAGAAGGATACAAATAAACATTACGCTTCTGTTTTGCCAACTAAAACTCAAAGAGAGGAATGTTTTGTGCTGCTTCTCAGCACTGTTCACTCCACAGCCTAAATTCTGAGTGTTTGTATGCTACCGCTATCTGGAACAGACTTAACAGCAGCTAACCACATTTTGCTTCACCACATTTTGTACAAACCAACCATCTACAGAAAAAAAAAAAAACTACGTGCAGAGTGCACAACATTTTCCACGTGGGGTTTAGATGAGGACAGTTGTTACATCTCACCCTGAGAGTGAACGCCAGACGATTCAGTCTGTCGTGAGCAGATCTGGAAAATGCCGTCCTGGGTTTCAGCAGCATTCACAGGTCCTCTCAGAGACTGAGTCGAGCTCCCTTTTGACACATAAAGAAGACATTTACTCTGCTTTAAACAAGTGAGGAATTTGTCATTTATTTATACTCATTTTACTTAGTTTTATTCTTTTAGAAATGCTCATGTCCTTTTTGATCGCAAATAAACCTCTTGGTTGAATGAAAATCAACCTGCAACGAGCATGAATCGGTTCGAGCTTAACTATATTTCACAAAGAACATACCTTTCACTGCTGGAACAGAGGTTGTCCACACTCTGGATGGGATCTCCAAGCAAAACTCCTGCTTTCTTGACAAGCCTAAGACATACCAGAAAACATTTTTATTTGTCCTCAGTAAAGACCAGCACTGGTGTTTGGCTGTGAGATATGTGATGATGCAGTTGGTTGATGCTCCTCTACCGGAGATTTGCTGGTTGCACATGTTGGAGAACAGGTCTGTTGAAGGTTTTTCTTCCAGGAGCACATTCAATCTTTCAAGCAGAGGAACAACCCTCTGTTGGAGCAGAGCCATCACGGTGATGTTTGGCTTATAGTCACTACATTGGACCAGGCCATAGTCTTTGAACCAAAACTGTCCACAAAGTACTGCCTAAACAGCCACACAGGAAATGGGAACATCACTAGAGCTAACAATTAATGTTACACCTCAGTAATGATCAATTAATCCATCTCTGTATGTAATGTGTTTCATACAATATTTTGCTTATTAAAAAAAAAAAAACATATAGCCAGTTGTAGATAACATATCTTGCAAATCTTATAAGCACTTTGTGTTTTTACCTGGGCTGTGTTGGCACGCAGCTGAGACACATGTCTGACAAAATGGAGCAACATGAGAGCAGAATCCACCGCTGTCTGTGTGGAACAACACTGCTCCCTTAATTCTCTGTGCCTGAGCTCTCTGTCCTGAAAACCCAATGGTTTTATACTGTCACTATCTTATGGTCAAATGTGCTGTTGTTGAGAACAAACTTAGACTAGCTCAAGCATTTTTTGTCAGACATTGTTCTTACCATCGCATGGAGATTTGTAGACCAGTCTCCTGGCTGGGACGTCCATTTCTCATTGTCTTGTTGCAGCTGATCCATGCACACATCCAGCTTATCAAGGCCAGACATAAGGGCTGCGTGCCAACCACACTGCTGGTCCCATTCCTCTTCATCGCCTACAATCAGCCATGTTTTTTCATACCTTATTGTGCTGCGATGCAAATAAAACACTGCAAAGTGGCATTATGCTTAATCTGGCATCTTGGAATCGACATTACCACAGGTAAGGATGCTTAAGACATGTGGGGGCAAGACCAGAGCCAAGAATGAGCACTGAGCTGCTCTTCTCTGGACCTCATTTTGTGCAGTATCCTGCAGCTCGACAGCTGCCTCCTTCAGCTGCTTCCCTGACCACTGGACCTAGAGGAACATACAGACTATTCATTCAAGCTTAAATAAAGCATATACACACACGCGTGCATGCAAACACACACGCACAGATCCTGTTGTAAAGCTCAAAGAGCAAAGATGTAGTTAGTCATTTCTGCATTCACTGTCAACATCTAGAATCTTAGAATACAGTTCTAAAAAAATATTCTGTTTTTATTTCTACACATTCTAAAGCTTGAAAAGCCTTGAATTGCTTCCTCTCTGAATGCACTAAGCTCTTCTTTAAAACTCCATAAAAACTCCCCCTGCTGACCTGATGAGAATTTGCATCTGAGACACTGAAGAGATGCTGGCATAAAGCTGAGTCCAGATCGACGAGGATGTCTTCCTCACGCTGCCTCTGCTGCTGCCAGTAAGAGTTTCTCACACATATTTCCCTCTGCAGCGCCTCCACCTGACACAGAACAGAAAAAAAAAAGATAACTGAGCAAGATGCAGCTCAGTTATCTGCCTTATTCCTACATGATATATCATCCATTATTACATTATAACTTGATTTAGGGATTTGTCCACCTACTTGTACACCATCAGTTTGCTCTGCCGTCATCAGCCAGAATGACAATGTTAGAGGCACAACGTTTTTGGTGGGCACATCCAGCCTTGCTCCAACTACTGGGGCCAGCAGCCCAGTCACTGGATCCACAGCCTGAGCTCCATAACGGATCGCCACCAAGCCTGTCAGGCGCAATCACATGCTTAACTCACTGATGTAAATGTCTTGCATTATTCTAAAATGAATAAAATGAAGAATTGCAGGTTCTTGTTATCATCATGCCTTTTCCTTTTGGGTCCTCCATGGTTCCTGCCAGAGGAATTGCATTGCCAGACACAGGATCCCTCTGGCACCCAAGCACAGGAACACTTAGACCAGATCCCATGGGGTCAAGATACTCCATCCCCAAGAGAGCTGGCAGACACACATCTGAAGCTGGAAGAGGCATTTCGCCTGATTCATACCACAAAGATGAGTAAATGACAAAAAAAAAAAATCATTTTTAAGATCATATAAAATCAGGTCAAATAAGGCGGGACATGATTTTTACTAGAAAGAAAGACTAGCCTACCAGTACAATCTGACATTGTTGTTTTCTGAGCCTCAGACTTTTGCTAATGGCCTTATAGAACTTTACATCAACCTTAAAAAACATATCTAGTACAAAATAAGTAAAGATGTTTTTTTGTTCTACGTGGTATTTCTAGGTATTTCTCCATTAAAATGAAGAATAATAGTGTAAAGGTTAAATTTAGGCTTATTAGAGACAAACTGGTCACATGCTTAGTTCTGGAAAGGGTAGATGTCTGTGATATGTAAAGGTCAAGTGAAAAGTCTTTAGGTTAGGAAATGTGTGTTCCTCTTAGGCTTCTGACTCTCTTAAATGTCAGACTTAAAAAAATAAAGTCCCTTTTGCCTGCACATGTGTGCTCACTGCTCATTGGCCAGCTCTGTCTCAGTTTCAAAACAAATATGGTGGATAAGTTGAGTGTTCCACTTTCCCTGAGACAGGTTCAGAAAGTTTTTCAAGCTTTTCAAAGGCCAAAGTAGCAGACTCACTTCTGTCAGATTGTCCCAGGACAGATTGAAATTGTGTTCATGCAGACGCACAGTTCTGACTGTGATATAATGTACTCTTCTCTTGCTGATCTTTTCAGGCGTCTGTATTTTGTTGGTTTTGGGTGGTGCTTTCATTTTTTGCAACTGATAAATAAGCCAGGATCTACATATGCAATGAAGAACTAAGCAATATCTTGAACCAAGGAAAAAAATTGTCTAAAAAGTGTCTTTTTCACAAGGATTCCTTACCCAGTGTCCCACCGTCCTGCTGCAGTTGCAGAGTCCAGCCCAACAGCATCTCAAACCTGGTCCACAGCTGCAGCCCAGAGTGCAGACTCCGTTCCCAGGCCTGCTCAAGCTCCTTGCTTGCAGCGAGAAGATTATCCAGTCGGCCGCTTATGTTCTCATTGCCTGGATGGTTCTGCATATTTAGTAGAGTCGGGTCGGAACCCCAGTCATCAGTTAGCGGTTTCAGGAGGTCCAGTGTTTTAAGCATCTCAGCCAGAACCTGAACCAAATAAACATCTCTGTCACTCAGGTAATTTATTACTAAGCAACTTTGCAAATGTACAGTTTTAGCGTTGCTGGTTTACTCTCAAAGTCTGTGGTTGTATTATTTATTTATCACGTTTCATACAACGTAGCTCACTAGGAAATGAGAAGGGAAAACTAAATACTTTCCTCACTGCTTGGCAGTTTCATGTGCTGGTATCGTGACAAGTATTGAACATCAAGTCATGTTGGTACTGGAGTTAATCAAGTACCTTGCTGTCTAATAATGCTTGATAACCTCCTGCATGAGGCACCAGCTGTCCGGCCCTGATGGTGACTCCTCCTACTCTCACCATCTGCCCACTCAGAGGTTCGGTGAAGACCTCACCGAGTAGCGCTCCACCTACTGGTTGTACATCTCCTACAGGATAAGCAGAGTAAGTCCAAATGACAAAAGATCTGTATCTTAAGTATTGATAGACATCTAGCAACACTGACCTGTTACCAGATCTAAATGGACCCCAACAGTGAGCACAATGTTCCCTGTCCTGGAGTCCAGCATGGGATAGCCAATTTGTATTGGCTGAAGCAGGCGGGAGAGTGGGCAGGTATGCAGCCTTCCCAGGGGGTAAACTAGTCCAGTCTGTGGGTGGATGGTTACTGCCAGGGTGGGTACGGGAACGCCTGTGTCTGGATCTGCCATGGGCATGCCCAACCGTAACCTATGACCTGGTTTTAGGCCTTTGAGACGAATGCAAGGCAGGGGCAGCTCTGAGGGGCAGGTGGTGGGAAAAGGAAGAAATGGAAGGAGGGGACTGTCCAACTTTCTGATATCACCTAATGCAATGAAAAGCACACAAGATATTTTTATTACAATCAAGGAAGAGTTTATTCAGCTAGTGAACTGAAAGGAAAATGGGACATGGTTTAAAAAAATGTTAAGTAAAAGTCAGAAAAATTAGGGGAAACAAGGAACAGGTGTAACTAATCAAGGGGTGGCTGGGACGACACAGATACTCCACAGAAAACAGAAATCTAAATAAACTCACAGAAAAGCTCAAATCCTCACACAGAGATGAATATATGTTGGTGTGCAATGTGTGTATCAACCTCCAAAAACACAAAAAAGGCACAACAACTTCTGAAGATGCTGGCTGAAGGTGGTAAGAGAGTGTCATTATCGCCAGTAAAATGAACCATGTACTTACATGGGCTAAAATTGCTAAGAGGCAATTACTCCAAATTGCTTAAAAAAAAGCCAGACTCCAATTTGCAAAGGCACTCAAGGACAAAACACCTATTTGTTGGAGGCATGTCCTGGGCTTTAATGACATTGAAATTGAAGTATTTGATCACAGTGACCATCACAGAGAAAGCCTGAGAAAGCCATCCCAGCTGTGAAGTATGGGGGCTGCAATATAGACAGCGTCATGGGGAAAGAACATTTCATGTATATATTGAAGCAACATGTCAAATCTTTAGCCAATAAGTTAAATTTAAAGAATCTTGGGTAGAAATGGGTTTTCCTAAAAGTCAATGTGTTAAGAAATGGTTTAAGAACAACAAAGTCAATATCCTGGAGTTGTCTTCAAAAACACTGATCTCAGTCCCATAGAAAATGTGTGAGTAGGGCTGATAACTTTGAAAAGATTCCAGCAAACTATTGGGCGAAGCTTGTGGAAGAACATCCAGAAGATTTGACCCAAGTTGTACGACTTGAAAGGCAATTCTACCAAATACTGAACCATTCACCTTGTATTTTAACTTCAAAATAAATAAAAAAGTGACTTGGCTATCCATCAACATAGTTATTTACATATTTAGTAAGCTAAAATCTTTGAGGTAATTATTTTCTGACACAAAACAGGAAGGTTTAGTCTGATTTATTGCCAGGCAATAACCTGGTTACTTCACTATTTGTTGTATATTTTAAATTATTTCGTCATTCTGCATTTGTATGTAATTGTTTCATTATAAAACACCTCAATGTAAAAGATTTTTATTTATCCTTAGGATGCATAATTACTACTGCAGTTGAGTTTATTTTTATTACCAGCAGTAGAGTCTTCCTCTTGGCAACTGTAAGACTTTGTAGCCATATCTGCTCCAAGCAAACTCATTAAGCCCTTACAACTCTGCAGTGACTGACACATCCCTGTTGTTTTATATGTGCATGTTTATCGATGCACATTTTGTACATTTTCCTTCTCTAAAGACTAATCTACTCAGCTGCACATTACTTTCCGTTTGAGTATGCAATTTCTTTGAATACCTGTACAGCGTCATTTTTATTGTAAATGTTTGCTTACCATCCGTCATTCTTATTTTTGTGACTTTTACCTTTGTTGGCGTATGCATGTCCCACTTACCTTAACTTGCTGCAGTGACACCTGAATTACCTCTGTATTTCTATTCTATTTAGTATTCTCTCTGTCTTAAACATGGCGTTTTATTTCATCACAGTATGTGTGGTAGGATAGAATCGGCGGTGTTACCTGTACAGATGTCCGTGGTAAACACTAATGTAGAACTGACGGGGTCATAGGCCACGTTGCCAACGATGGGTAAAACTCTGCCAGTCTGTGGGTGAATGAAGTAATCAGGTGGCACTGCCATGGTGTGGCCACTGCTCAGCAACATGTGGCTTTGAGAGTTTGGCTTTATGAGCCCGGTGACTGGATCACAATGAACTGCAGCAGGGACACGCAGAAACCCGTCGGGACCTGAGGAGGCAAGGGTTGGACATTTTTTAAATCTTTATCTGAAAATCCTGATGATACTACCAATTAACAAATCTAACTTGTAAGACGTATTTTAGCATAAAAAAGGGATTTATTTCAACATTTTTTCTTCTTGATAGAGGCTATATGTTTTAGCAATTGTTTATTCGTTTTTTTTTCAATAAGTTTTTTTTTTCTTGGCTGCAGCACAAGCTTTTAGCAGTAGATGGTGCTGTTTCTCCAACATTCAAGAAGTCCTTCATAGTATCGTGGTACTACACAGAAACTACTGAATAATTGTTTTTTCTTCTTTTTCAGGACTCATTGACTCACCAAAGATGTCGTCTTTGGTCAGGACGGTTCCCGTGTCGGGACAGAGCAGCTTGGCCCCAGTACTTTCACCCAGCAGCCCCAACGCTCCCTGACGGTGGCACTCCGCTGCCACCAGCTCCACCATTTCATCCACAAGGCACGTCAGCTTTTGGGTCATACTTAACATTGGTGGAAAATATATTTACAACTTCGTAGTATTTATTTCAGATCCATTTGACTCTTTACAATAATACTTGAAAAATAGTTTACATTTGCTGGTGAGGCTCACAAGAGGCCTGAGTGTTGTTGGAAATCTTGGACAGCAGTCTGGTGCACTCTCTGCATCGAGTTTTGAATCCACTGTAGACCCGCTGCTTGGCCTGCTGATCTCGTCTCAGTACCTAGAAGGAACCAGTTACATCTATTTCAGTTATCCTCTTGGGTAGGTTGATCATTTTAGCTGTTTGCTTCTAAGATTTAGTGTTTGGCATTTCTTTGCTTTCTGTTAAACTGTCAGGGAGGACGTATAATTAAATGCACCTTGTTCTTGATTATTTCAGTTTACATATGGCAGAGAAGCGCCACAAAACGAGGAACAAACATCGTGTTATCGTGGAAACGCTCACTCAGCAGGTTTTCACCTGGGTTCAAATAAAACAAATCTGGTGTTAAATGTTCAAGCAGCTAAACTTTTCTAACATGGACATTCTTTAGTTAGTATGTCAAGATTTGTCCCTTTTTCTTCTTTTTTTTTTTTTTAGTTCTTAAAAAAAGTGGATAAAAGTGAAAACACCCACCGTCTCTGTTTAGTTAGATTTATCAATCTGACAAATCTTTATTTATGATTTTAAGTTGCCTTTTAAAAATCTTCATACTTCTCGATGTTCAGTTTGCCGTTCTACAGCTAAAATCTTCAAGATATTTTGGGAGATTTTATGTGATGCGGGAAAAAACGGTGGTAAAGGGTGAATCTTTTAACAGTCAAAAACCTGAAACAAATGGAGCCCCATTTAGTCAGACTCCTCACTGCATCCCCCCCCCCAAAAAAAATAATAAATTCATAACAAATCACTCTGAGATCCAACTGCAATATTTACAGATGGTCTCCATCCAAACTGAGATCAAAAGACCAATTTTATTGAAGTCTAAATGTGCCAAACTATCAGAGGTTTTAACCTAAAATACTAAAGTAGTAAATGTTGCAGCTGAGAGGTGCATATTAAATCAGGGAGCGCTGCAGCAAACACGGTACATTAATTCTATTTCTTCATAATTATAATCCCACTAAAACATATTGAAATTTATAATACGAATATGTGGAAAACATCAGAATGTAAGAGCACTGCATAATGAGACTTGTATAGTACCTCAAGCTGATTGTCAAGCAGAGTTCGCAACTGGGAGGCCAAAGCCCTCCGTCGCCCCACTTCTTTCTCCATCTCTTTTCTCATCCTCTCATAACCTTCCCCCACCTTCTCCTCGGCGATCATGCCTGGGTGGAGTACCTGTAGTTTCCCAAGGACTCCCTGATACATCTCTTTTACCTGGACAAACACAAAAACACATTAGAAACATCGTAAAACTTTTTGTAATCTGAGCCTACAATCATGCAGCCTGAGCAAACATCTCCAATCCTCGGGAGACATAAGCATTTATGCAGCATCGTCTCTTCTTACATCTCTATCGCTCCACTTCTTCAGGGTTGTAACATTAATCTGTTTGCTAAACTGCATCCAGCCAATTAAGTAGGAAGGACACAGGACAAAGAGAAATGCACATAAGAAAACAAAGACCTTCGTATGTGATATTTAGCCTGTTTCAATGAACCTGAATGATCTGTGAAACGCGTATGAGGAGGGAACTAGTTACATCGTGAAAGAGAAGATGTGCCTAACCTTTCAGGGCTTCTATGAAATCAAATTAGAGGTCATGAAGTGAATGTAAAGATGCACTTCATTCGAATGTTGTATGGTTTTTTTATGAGAAGACTCCAACCTCAAGGCTAAGCTAAAAATTAAAAAAAGATAAATAAATGAATTCCACAAGAAATGACTGAAGATTTACTTTGTAAAGGTTTTTCTCACATCAAACTCCAAGACAAAAAAAAAAGGCACCAACAATATTCCTGGTTACTAAAAGAACTATATTTAATGCATGGATTGGCAAATTAATAAGAGACAAAGTCCCATGTGGATTTCTTGTTCGTGAACAGTTCTGGTTCACTGAAGTGTGAAGGATTAAGTGTGTGAAGTTTAAAAGAGGCAATCAGCGCCAGTTCCTTTGCTGCCAGTTCACTTGGCGAATAATCTGGGAGTTTCTACCTCCGTTGTGAGCTGCCCCAGCCTGGTAGTGACAGACAGGCTTTGTTTCAGCAGGAGGCTGTAGAAAGTGTTGCTGCTGAAAGCCTCCAAATCCACCTGGTGCTCATAATCCCAAAACTCATCCAAAACATCCGGGCAGGCTGCTTTTCACAAAGACAGTAGAAAGCGGGGAGAGATGGGGATAAAAAATTGAATAAATGTATTTCAAATCACATGGAAAATTATTTTGGAAGTACAAAAATAATTTTCAGGAAAAGTATTTATATTAAGATTTTTGTGACATTGCAACCATAAACAGTAACATAGTGTTTCTCACAATATGAGTGGATTTATAAATAGAAAATCACAAAGTACTACATAGCTCCTCAGATCACACCTTTAATGAACTACATTTTGTCACATTTACATGTGAGAGAATTTTTCTGTATACCAACTTTGGATGCTGGGAGATATTTATTTTTCTCCCCTTCTTTCAGAAATAGCTCAAGCTCATCAGTCCTTTCTTCTATTATAGTTAGCTGTAAATGTCACCCTTCCATCAACACCAGTGTGTGTACTTAATCCACAATTGTTATATAAGTCACCCTCTTCACAATTTCTCATAATCATGTGTTGATCTATTTCATTGAGTTTCTGTAAGTTTATGGCTGTTGTGTTAAATAACATGGACAAATTTAAGGTATGCAAATACTTTTACAATGGCCCTTGTGATAAGCTACATTAAAAGTTCAGTAAAAGCTGTTTTTCGGGTGTGCATGTGCGTGTTTTGGAACATCTACTCTGAAGTGAAGTTCTGCTTGGTTCTCCGTAGTGATGACATCAAAAGCTGTACAAAAGTAAACTGAAGAAAGGGCCCCATTGATAAGATGCTTGTTTTCCTTTTTGCTGTTGGTCATCGTACACATGCCATCAGCTTCGTGACGTAAATGTTTTCAGCAGTAACTGGTTGGATGGGTACACCACCCAAAGGTCAGTGTCAGTGTTGCATAAGAAGTCACTGGGGTCTTCAAAGGCCCACTGTTTGGACAGAACCTGGAGTCGGTGCATGTTGCAGGTGCATTTGTCTAAAGTTGCCGATCACATTTGAATGTAAGTTGGGAAACAAATTATCTCCTAGGCTTCTAATAAATGAGTGAATAATAGGGAGATTCCACCTGGCTGAATGGAGTCCTTCATTAGCCTAGCTTGTTGATTCCGATGGGTCTTCCTAAGTGTGAAAGCTCTTGAGCCTTTTGATGCATAGTCATCCATTTGGTAGGCCAGCTGCAACGAACGATACTTCGTCGTGATTGGTTTCTTCTCCGGCCACCCATATTCCTGGAACATGATCTACAAAGACAAAAAACACAAACGTTTTAAAGTTACTTTATAAGATAGTGAACATCTAAAATGCTCTTGTGGCTAAAAAGGCGAACCAGCAATGCAACAGATAAGCAGAGAACGACCACAGCTCCAAACAACAGTCCGCCGGCGACCAGCCAATCAGGTCGAAGCAGCAGATCACGTCTTCTGCTGATTCCCATTTGGGTCAGATGTCGAGGAATGGTTGGGAAGAAGGGTCCAGGCTCATAACACTGGGCCCCTGCGGGCATCACGCGCACATACTGAAAGGCATTGGCATCCGTAGTTAGTGACACCTTACCAACTATATCTTATGTCACAAATTGCATTCGCCATCTGCTAACTTGTTTTATGTGCTGTTCTTAGTATTGATCATTACGTCCTTAGACAATTCAATCAAAAACATGAACAAGATTTTAAAAATAGAGTCAAAACAGCACAGTACTACATCAGCTTTTGAAATGATATGTTTTATGATGATTTTTAAATAAATAAAATTACTATGTAACAAAGCAGCTTTGATTTTTGTAATTGAAATTCACCATGTGTTTATGCTGATTGCTGCTAAGTGTGAATACGTAAACCCCCTGGTGGCTAAAGACCAGCGAAAATAAGGTAGGAGGAGTCCAGGAAAGGGTCAGCTGCTCTTCCAGCAGCCTGAGCGCACCCCAGTCAAAATCACTGTTTGTGTTGTAGAGATTGTCGCTGAAAGAAGTGCAGAGACGATGAACAAAAATGTCAAAACAAAAGAAGTAAAATACTCAAACCTGAAAGAATTTACCACCCGACTTACATGTCATAGAGCGGGTAATGGCGTGTGCTGACAGTGAACAGTAAAACATCCCCCAGTTGGAGACACGTTGTCGGATTGAGGACTCCAGTTATACTCAACACACTCTGATCGTCAACATCACTCAGTTCTTTGTTCCACTGTCTGAAATGAGGTTCTCTTTTTGTATCACTGGTATTTTCCACACCGCTGGTCTCATCTAAAACTTCATAGTCTTTATCTGTAAATCAGTCATGCAGAACAACAGTCTCAATAACTCGATAATTTAGTTTGCATGTGTTGAGAATTTCCGTGCATTCGTTGTTATTTCGATTGATGTGCGGCAGTGACAAACCGGCTGAGCTCTGTGTGCGGTCTGGAAACAGCTGCTGGATTTCCTCTGGGAGACCGCTGAGGAGGCCAAAGAGTCCTGACTCTAGCAGTCGTGATACAGATGAAGAAAAAAAAGGAGGTCATGAATGTGACAGGGAACCACAAAGAAATCAGCCGCTGGATAGGAAAACCCTATTGTGTGTGTGTCTGTGATTGTTTGAAAGTGCATCTTCACCTGTGGTCTGAACAATGTAGACAGGACGTGAGGGTTTATGATGGCTGTGGCACTCCAGAGTCCCCTGGGAATCCCACCTTTCAAAAACCGTTTCCAGCACGCTGCCTGAGACGCTTGACACCTGCAGGCACACAATGACAATCTTTGCCATTAATAGGTCAATGCAACACAAGAGATGAGGCTGTAGTTTCACAGCGAAGATGACAATACATGCATGCATGCATTATCGGAGCAGGCTTATTTGTCTATTGTGTTTTATTCAATAGATATATGACATGAATATGAGTGTAACAATTGAAAAAAAAACATTGCATTCTTAAAATTTCAGATAATATTCAGTCTTTTGGTACATCTGACAAGTATGGATGTTAATCTATTGTCCACCTGACTTTCATAGCTCCATGACAGAGCCATATTCTGATCATATCTGCACAGGAGCTTCAAATGTATAGCAGGCTTCTGCCTGCATAGGCCTCCACATGCAGCTCTGCCAGGAGGCTCTCTGCACACACACAGACCCAGATTCCTGTCATAACCACGGTAGTCCTCTGGTGTTTGGCACACCTGCAGAAAAACAGCCAAAGCAACTCTTGTGACATGTACGTTTTCTGATTAATTCCTCTGAATCAACACAACGATGAAATCATTGCTGAGCAAAATCACAGGAAGCAGCTTATGGTTAAATATTAATTGGGTTTATTAAGCTTGGAGGCTTGTCAGGTTCATGGGGTAAAGGGCAAAGACATCCAGGTTGTACTCATTACCCTCAGTGATTGTGGGCAGTGTGCTTACTCAATGCATTCTTTAAACAGGTCATAGTTGTTGCATATCTTCTGTACGAGTTTCCTGTCTCATATCATTTTGAACAAGATAAACCAAAGACCTTTCCCCTAGTTCTTCGGTAGTGTATGTGAAGGGCCATATCATAAGTGCAAGCATTTACCTTATCCTTACAATGAAGAGACCACTGGTGCTGGTCCAAGCAGTCCCCATATTGTGTGCGAGACTTTCCATTTCTGCAGATGCTGTAGAGCTGTTGCACACACATTTCTCCATCACTGCTGGGCTGGTATCCGATTGTACAGAAGCAACGGCCTTCAGTTCTCTATGGAAATAAAAGGTCGAAGAAATGATAAGCCGATTGGTTAAAATGACGAAGACAAAGATTAAATGCAAAGACAAAACATGATACTTTCAACTGGAGCAACTTCCGTTATTTATCAGGTTATGCACTTATGGTTTCTGCTCTTTTTCACTTCCTTAGGGGTGCTGTTAGGAAGCTACTATCAACAAAGTGTTTACCCAATCTCTCTGAGTACCTGATTTGACCCTTTGCCTACAAACTGCATGTAACACATGGGCTGTATGTTCAAACCTGTAACCCTCCACAACGTTTTGTCTCCATGGGGAACATAGAAAATTATCAGACTGAGAAAACTGCAGGAAATTTTTTCTTCTTCTCCAGTGTTGCTATAGCCCACCTCTTGACTGCCCTGGTAGACTAGTTCCTATCTTTCTGTCTTTTTTTGTTTCAGTTTTTCAACCTTGCAGTAGTCCTGTATTTTCTCTATTGAATGCTGTTTTCACATTGTTGTTCATAAATATTGCTGTGGAAATTATTTTTGCACTCTTCCCCTGAATTATACCTTTGTACAACATAATTCATGTGTTCTATCATCTCTCTGACCAAAGTTTGCAAGTGTGTAAGCTTATTTATATATCCTAAATATAATATAATAAAGGAGGAGAAAGATTTAAAAGGATTTATAAAGGTTTTGCATCAGCAAATTCTCACGTTTAACAGAGATGTTTACAATCTCTGATCCACCTTAAGTACACAGAAAGTCCTCATTTATTTAGGTTGCAAATTTACTTTATTTGCAACCGATATGGCTGCAAATATGGTTTTACAGCCACATTTCTACACACACGTTCTCCCACAGACAACCAGGGACAAATCTCATTCCCTTGATCCTGAGCTGATGAGAAGAGAGGTCAACACCTGTGCAACTGCAGCCACATAGGGAAACTAGATCCTTCTGTACAGTAATAGTATCTGGAACTCCCGGGCCTTGAAGCTACAGATTGTTCATCGTCTAATATTTCTGAGTGACAGTCAGGAAGCTACTCCTTTCACTGTATTTGTGAGGAAAAAGCAAGAAGACAAAGGAATCATAAGCACAGTGCTTCTTCACCCTAGGAATTGCTGTGCTGATCTTTATGCCTTGGTAAAAACACCTGAACAACGAACATGGGAAGAAACACCTGAAAACTCTGTCCATTTCCTGAGCAAATGCAGACATCCTGGCCAGACAAAGGCTGCACAGCCATAGGACCACAGGCCAGGGGGAAGAGCAGGCCTGGTCGAGGGCAGTAATGTTGTGGAGGACACTTCAGGCAGTTTTCTTGGGACACAGCTCCAGCATTTGGCCCATATGTGCCTCTAGGACATGGGATCGGACTTAAGCTGCCTGGAGGACAGTAGAAACCTAATATGCGCAAAAACATGTCACTCTGGCTTATTGTTTGATGTTGCAGTCATAACAAAAAAAATCAGTTGAGAAAGCTTACCTGGCTGACAGTGCAGATTTTCTTTGTTTTGTTGACTGATGTTTCTCTCTTGGGCCATTGCACTCAGCAGCATCGCAAAATGCCAAACCACATGCATCTGCATGTTTGCATAGTATTTTCAAATACTGACTTGCTGGCCAACATTTCCCATGAATTCCTCTGCTTAACACAAAAACTCTTGAAGTGACTCATCCACGGACCATGTTTTGAAGACAAAAATCTGATGTAATACTCTGTGAGTGAAGTCCATTGACAAAATTCTGCACTCCGATGTTCTCCGCAAATGATTATGCACCAGGCTAGTTAGTCTGCATGGCTTTCAGTGAGAAGCTGAATGATTTATAAGGCCTGTGAGGTTAGGTGACAGTGACAGTAGAGCGACTGCTCAGAGGAAAGCAGCAGGGGAAAAGAAAGAGCACCTGCCTGTTGCTGAAGGATCACCTTACTCTATTTATTCTTCTCAATCCTACCATGACACTGATTATTGATTTGGCGCTCTATGAGAGTGAACACTGCTTTCCTTTGCTTGATGACTGTTTTACCAAAAGGACCCGTCAAATCCATTCATGACCTCAGCTGAACCTAGTTTCATTCAGGTCTGGTTATTTATTGATTCAGTTCTCAACAAGTTTTTATTTGAAAGCACTTTCCAAAAGTAAGGTGTCAGACCTTACTTTCTATTGGATAAAACAGAACTATGTGTGATTTGTTTGATGGCAGATGCTTGCATCCAGGATAGAGACTCTGTTTATTCTGTTCTACATATGTTTCAAAAGAGTTCATATGTGTTCAGTTCAAACTGAGCAATGTGCTGTTCACCCCCAACTCATTTCAGAAACTTAAGTTTGTCTGTAGGTAGCTCCAAAGTAAAGATCATCGTAGTCGTTCCTAATAGCCAACATGCCCGTTTTGTGAGAAACACTCTTTGAGTAAGGGATCTAATTTTTCTTACATACACTGTAATCAAAACTATTCAAACAAATACATATTCCATCGGTTTCCGATTTAGACAGTTTGGTCTAGTCATTGCAAATCTTCAATTAGTAGTTCCTTTGACCCGAATATCTTCATGTTTGTTCAATAATCAGTGTCAAAGAATTGCCCTTTGCTCCATAGTAAAATCGCAGAAAAAAAAAAAGAAGCTTTGCTTATTGATAAGAAGCACTGTCAGCTGGCTGGCCATTGAACACAAGAGTTAAATAATGTAATTATGTAACATTTTAATTATTAGCACTGTCATTTGCATTCAGAGTACCACATTTGTGTGCATGTGGTTTTTTTCTGACTAAATCTCGATGATAAATCCTGACTCGGCCGAAAACAAACTCGGAGGTGCAGAAAGCAGTCAACAGGTCTGTTTTCCTGTTCAGTATTCAAGGTCTTAAACTCTGTTATTGTAGTGGAATAAATGTGAGACTTTGGATACCTGGAATAACCTACATAGGGAATTTCATCACGGTAGCCATGGACTTTGACCCCGCAGTGACGACTTGCAGCTTATCTAACTGAACTGGACTCAACTTTCACCCAGATCTCCATGTCAGCTGCAACACAACCATGTAGAAATAAACAGGGTGAATCATCCGAGATATAAATGTAATACGTTTTTTTAATGAAAGAGACAAACATGATCACCAATTCTGTTCTGGTGAGCAGATAACACAAGACATGAAGATGAGAACTGTTCATATGTCCAAAGCTCAAAAACACAGACTGCTGCTCGGCTTAAAAACCATAAAACGAAAAGCATAATGCTTTACATCTTCAACCTCCACCAGTGCAAAAATAAAGAGTAACATTTGAATCTTTTCTCTTTGAGTTGGTTCTCTGTTTTCAGTTTCTTCTCTTATTGGCTGCTGTTCTGTACAATCATAAAGTACAAATATTGGAATCCAGTATCTGTCTTACCAAAAATAGTTGAATCATCGTCTGTGATTTTAAAAGTGCTTCATCCTCACAAATGCTCACGATAATCTAAAGTGAGTTTAGATCATCAACAATTCTCTGAATTTAAGTTTTATGACGATTGAGCAGCAGATAATATCGCTGTGACCTCACACAGTGTGTTTGTGAGAGTGTGTATATTGTGTTTGATAATCACTGTGACCCTCCACGTGTTGACTGTTGACACAGGCAGGGTTTGGGCAGCCTCTTTGATAACAAGGACCTTTATAAGTCAGAGCAGAGGAGAAGTCAGACCACAGACCCCTGATCCTTGGATAAAGAACCTGCTTCTCTGTTATGCACTGATCTTCCTCTTGTTCTAAGTAAGGGATATGTGAAAAACAAGTAGTATGGCTTCCAAATGTGTTTGTCGTGTTTTGGTATTCTTATCAGTTTCCCTTGTTTCACTTTTACAGAAACATAAACATGATTTGGGAATTAGTGATCGTCACCCTGTCACTCTCAACAGCTTTGGGTATTTTTTATATTTTTTTCGCATGTTTTACATCTCTGCTTTTTTTCGGTTATGGTTTTTGTTTTGTGTTTTGCTTATAAATGTGTTGTTGTCTGCAGCCCATCCTCTGCACGGTGACTCCAGAGAGGCAGCCTGGGTTGACTCAAAGGCTAACCATGTGTTTGACAAGACAGACCTCTCAAAAGACACTCAGTAAGTTGACCGAACGCAACAAGCAGCTAATGATGAAGACAATAAAAAAAAAAATTCTCCAGTGTCTTGTGAAATTATTTAT